TTTTTTTTTTTTAGGGGAAGTTAATCAGAGACCTCACTCAGGGTGAAAATCCAGTGGTGTCTTTGTGTCTCTTAGCACATTAAATACCTACTGGGATGGGGCCACTTTATGTCAAGCTCATGAAGGAAGGGCCCAACACACTGTTGGCCCTAAAGTTTGTACCATTATTTTTTTCCCCCAACAAATACAATGGTTCTCAACAATAATAAGCAAGTAATTCAATCTGACTGGGGAGAGGGCCAGTGTGAACGATGAAGAGCTTAAATTACAGAGTCCTTCAAAGGGAACACTGAGTGCTCCTCTCTTCTCCATTGTTTTTAAGTTCCAACAGGAAATTGGACTAAATAAAGCACTGTTTGGTAGAGGTGTTTGTGAAATGAGTTTTAATCAATTGACAAGAATTGTGTATAATTGTCATCATTGTTTATATGTAAATGGTGTTTCAAAGTAATTGAAACATTTTAATAGCTTAAATGCTGCTCTTGAAATATTGTGTACATTATTTGTTCAACAAACTTTTTTCTTTCTATCAATAAAATAAACTTTACAATCTTGCGAATATTGGTAGGAGACCTAATCTTTTGCCTTTGTGTTTGAAAAAATACTAAGTGTTTATACTGAATAATCCCATTTTATAGTTTGTAGAGTTATCTTAATTTTTCTAGAGAATTTACACCATATCATCACTCCTCGTTCAAGATATACATCCATCATGGTTAGTTTTGCCAATGCAATGAAATAATAAGATTAGGAGGGGATATAGAAAGACACCGGGGCAGGGATTTTGATCTCTGTGTTTCATTCCCAGACCCTTAATGAACTAAATGTGAGTTTCCAGGCAAGGCTTTTAAAGCTTCAGACCGTACTCACATCATCTGCAGAATAGGGATATTTTACTAGATGTATGCTATTGATTTTACTAGATGTATGCTAGATGTCTACTCACTTACCTATAAGCTCTCTTTGTAAAAAATGCTTTAAAATGACTTTAAGCCTCCTTGAGACACTTCCAGGGGTAGATTCTATAATTCTGTGATTACACGTGTGGGCTAAGGAACTGGAACTGGGAAGATCAGTGCACCCCTGGCAATCTGGCTGATGCAACAGAAATGAGAGTCCACTTCTCCCAGGCCTCAGCTGGCCCCTGGGCCAAGGAGACATGTTATGCTGTTACTATCTATCCAGTTCAACTGTACTGCCAATGTCAACACACAGTGAGATGGGTATATGTAATTGTGTTGAGGAGTTACACAGAGTCTTTAAACAGAGTGAAACTGAAGAAGATAAATGATCGCTTGGGAACTGACGGAGGGCATGAATTGACCATGGCCTGGAGGCACTAGAATACAACACGGGAAAAACAGAGGTGCCCATTGTACCTTTTTTGCAAAAGGGCCCTTCATATGGTGAATTGGTGCAATCACACGAGTACCCACTGTACTTCTCCACGCACTTGCCCCCGTTGTGGCAGATGCTACCATAAGTGCTACAATGGCCCGGGCATCCCGGCCGGACTCCAGACGTGACCTTGGCCCTCTCCTCCAGGTCCAACTTCTGCCCATTCAAGTGTAATGAGCGTATGCATCCTAGGAAGCCTTTCTGTCTTGATGATGTTCCCCCTAAGCAGTGAAAAATAAAAGAAAAAAAAAGTAAGGTATCATACCATTCAATGTTTTAGGTTTAATAGCGAGATACTCATAACAGTTATGTGTCGTTCTGTTGTCCTGCTGTGTTGAACTTTTCAATTATAGCTTCAGGTGAGAATTAGGAATTCAAACAGCATGTGCAAAATGCATTGCATGTCTCTCCAGGCCGGGAAGAAACTCACCCCAACTCAAAAAAAAAAAAAAAAAAAAAAAAAAAAAAGAGAAGAAAGAAAGAAAGAAAAAATAATATGCTTCACGTGGAATCCTGTACCTTACATGTTTCAGACAGAAACTTTCGATCACCATGTTCCTTGCAAATGAAATAAAATGTGTTCTGATGTAGTCTCCAGCAGATTTTGTCTGAAGTAGAATGCACAAGGGAGATTGTCCCTTCGGACAAAGTGAGAAGCAAGTTGTTAGGCACATGAAGTTAGAACATGGGAACAAGTCTTGCATGGCTCCTGTAGTGCGATGCGAGCCCTGGAAGGAGGGCGGGCTTTGGGACACAGACATGGAGTCATACTCCAGGTCACTAGCTGATTAGCCACATTGACCACTGGATGACCTCATCTTAGCTACTTGATCTGTAAAATAATAATAAGTCTGTTTAGTGTATTTTCATAAAGCTTAGTTAAGATCGTGGAATGCAGTATGTGTTCAATCATTACTCTTTTCTATGCCTTCTCCTGAGCCCTTACAATGACTGGAACCAGTAGGTCATTTATATGTATGTGTATATATAAAGAGAGACAGAGAGCACTATCCTAGCACTTACCTCCAAATTATTATTTGGAAGAGAAATTTCTCCTTCTGGAATACAGAACCGGATTATAACCCAACTTTTCTGCTGTGGGTACATCCTGAAGTTCTCAGAGAGATTCACAATGCTCTTTGCAAATTATTTAAGAATGGAGTAGATTCCAAGTGACAGAGGATTTTGTTACCATTGGGAACCCAGGACTCTACTATCCCAAACCTCAGATATCAGAAAAATGTGAACAGAGAGACAATAAGGCAAGAAATTAAACTAAATCTCACCAGGAGATATTTATTTTTAATTTTAAAAATTTTTTTTTCAACGTTTATTTATTTTTGGGACAGAGAGAGACAGAGCATGAACGGGGGAGGGGCAGAGAGAGAGGGAGACACAGAATCGGAAACAGGCTCCAGGCTCTGAGCCATCAGCCCAGAGCCCGACGCGGGGCTCGAACTCACGGACCGCGAGATCGTGACCTGGCTGAAGTCGGACGCTTAACCGACTGCGCCACCCAGGCGCCCCTAATTTTTTAATGTTTATTTGTTTTTGAGAGAAAGAAAGAGCATGAGCAGGGGGAGGGGGATGGGCAGAGACAGAGGCAGAGGAGGGTGGGAGACACAGAAACTGAAGCAGGCTCTGGGCTCTGAGTGGTCAGCACAGAGCCTGATGCAGGGCTCGAACTCATGAACTGGGAGATCATGACCTGAGTGGAAGTCAAACGCTCAACTGACTGAGCCACGCAGGCACCCCCACGCCCCCCCAATCAAGATATATTTATTTATTTGGTGCTTGGAATCATGGGAGATCCCAGAGAAGACACGGGCCCAGACTGCCTTTAAAAACAAAAGTTCTAGTCCAAATTCAACACTGTGGCCTCAAGTCCACACACATGAATAAAGGGAGGATACACTTAGGTCTTCAAGGTCTACAAAGTGTACTAATAGAGAGAAAAAAAAAATAATAGGAGCAGGACCAACTTATCATTTATTTTGTGTATCCATCAACTCTCCTTTCTGAGCCCCATTCATTTCTAGTCCTACAATCCTATTAAATCTTGGTCTAGCAAATGCCCACATAAAAATATATTCCCACCAGGGTGGATACAGATGAGAATTCCAAATGTGTCATCTCAGAAGAGGAATATAGATGCTAAAGCAAGAAACAAAGCGGTAACTTGAAGAAATAAGTCAGGTAACCTAAAATTTCCTGGCATCCGTCAGCCTGGCAGGCTGGACAAGGAAATAATTGGAAATGGGGATGATGGGAAGGTACCGTGGGGTTAAGGGGGTTTTGTGCCTTCCCTGAATCACACCAGGCCTACAGACACATCAATATGTGTACGGCAGTCACCGGCTGCATCCACAGACAGACATAACGTTGCTAAAGGATTAATCGAGTCTTTTATTCTGAAATAATGGTGAAACTCTACTGTATTTTCAGTTCTGATAAGCGATACCCAAAGAGGGCCAGGAGGTCAAACCCAAATTGCATTCTCCTGCCTGTCTCAATTTGAGGGAGTAAATCTCCTTTCAACCGCAAGATAAATCAATTATAAATACAAGCAGATCATAAAGGAAGGCTCATTATTTCTTTCCCAGAGATTGTACAGAATAAAGAGGGGAGGATTGATGTAGTCAACCATTTTGCCTCCCCCCTCCCACCCCTTATTTTGTAGTTACTCTCTGCAGTAGATTTGAATAACTCTTCATACATCTTGTTAGGGGCATTTTGCTTCTAGCAGAGGTGGAAATGCAAGACCTATTGCACATTTTCTCGTGTGTGACTTAGTCAACAAGTTTATAAATGGAGACAAGAGTGGCTGGGGTGGTTTCTCTGGCAGAAATGTGCTCCTTGAGGGTTGAGACATATGGAACATAGAGAGAATGACCTAAAACAAGAGGAGCATTTCATTCCCAGATGCTTACAAAACAAATGCACAATGAACTATGAACTAAGTTACACAACGAACTAACTTTCAGGGTTCACCTGACTGATTTTCATTCTTTATGAACGGTAAAAAACTAGAGGTCGGGCTTCTCTTTTGTCTTCCTGGAGAGGTAATAGGTAGACTGAGAATAGAATAATTCCAGAAATATGCCCCTCACCCACACTTCACACCCAGTCAGGTTGCTAGATCTCTCCATTTTCTGATGTTGCCTACTACCTGTAGAGTATTGGTGTAGATGTGAACCTTCTGTGAAACTTGAATAGGATACAGAAATGTAGCCACAATCTTCCCACCCCCTCCTTCCACACAGTCCTCCCCCTGCCCCCTCCCAACCTAGCCCTGCAGATTTGCTCTCCCAGCTATCTCTGGCTCCATCTACTTTTTTTTTTTTTTAATTTTAGTGTAGTTAACGTAAAGTGCCATCTGCTTCTTTATACACCTAGAGCCAGAGTCCTAGTACAATGCTCCTCACTCCAACTTGACTCCCTTTGACAACCTTCCAACTGATTTTGTACCCTCAGTCCTGATTCTTCCCATCCATTCATTACTTTGGACTCGGCTATTTCTATTTAATGCTCTTCAGAGACTACTGATTGTCCTCAGGATCAAGTTCAAATCCTTAGCACAGATGGTACAGTATGAAAGATCTAGCCTTCATTTACCTCTCTAGCTCTCCCCCTCCCCCCGGCCCATATTCCCTTCTCTGACTTCAGTGCACCGGGCCTTCTGAACTACTAAGGCTCCCCAATGCCCTATGGTCTTGACTTTGGATCTCTTCATGTACTTGCCATAATGTGGTATGTTATTGTCTCCATGCATTCCACAATCCCATTACTCCACCCTTGTCTTTATACACACACACCTGCATTCATATACACACATCCTTTCCTCACATAGTTTCTGCAACCCAGTATTTAGTTATTTTATTTAGTTGTCACTTTTTAAAAAATGAGAAAAATTTTTTAAATTCGAATAAATCTTTGAAAAATCAGAAGAGATGTTAACAATGAACCTGCTTTCTTGCATGGCAAATGTCAGCTGTAGCCACGCTGTGGTCAGTTCCTTTAAGACAGGGACTCCCATCCCCACTTGGCCACATTCTCCTCCGGGACCACTTCATTCATTCATATGGCCTTCCCTGCCCTTGCAGGTATTTGATTTTTAAGCTGCTGCTCTAAGCTCTAATATACTTTTCTCTTTACTCACCTGAATCTTGTCTACAGTTCATTAAAAGGTTGGAACAACAAGAAAAAACAACAACAACAAAACTGTAGCGTCATACTTAAAGCACTTGAAAGTCATGATTTCGAGGTTTGTAGTTAATCTGCAAGCTGACCAAGAATCAGAACAATGCTTCTAATTTAAAATAAAAATTACATTTCAAAAATACTTGTCTGCTAGAAACTTTAAAAATAACTCATTGAGAGGTGCCTGGGTAGCTCAGTTGGTTAAGCATCCAACTTCAGCTCAGGTCATAATCTTGCAGTTCATGAGATAGAGCCCTGCGTTGGGCTCTGTGCTGACATCTCAGAGCTTGGAGTCTGCTTCAGATTTTGTGTCTTCCTCTCTCTCTGCCCCTCCCCCACTCATGCTCTGTTTCTCCCTATCTCAAAAATAAATAAACATAAATTAAAAAAATTAAAACAATAAGATAAAATTAACTCATTGAATACCCCAAGGAAAAGAAGGCATTCTTCAAATTATTCACATTGTATAGCTGAGGAAACTTAGTGTCAGAGAGATTGTTTTGGCCAGAGTCAAGAATCAAACAGATTTTCTTTTTTTTTATTAAAAAAATTTTTTTAACATTCATTTATTTTGAGAGAGAGAGACAGAGCACAAGCACTGGAGGGGCAGAGAGAGAGAGGAAGACACAGAATCCAAAGCAGGCTCCAGGCTCTGAGCTGTCAGCACAGAGCCCGACCTGGGGCTTGAACTCATGAGCTGTGAGATCATGACCTGAGCTGAAGCTGGACACTCAACCTACTGAGCCACCCAGGGGCCCCTCAAACAGATTTTCTGTGGCAGAGCCAGGTGTCGGACTGGGGTCTCTTGACCTTCAAAGCCTGCATACCTTGAAAGCTCTAAAATCCTAAAATGAATGAAATGATTAGACAACTTGAGTCATTCCTATAACCAAGGGATCCTTCTACCTTCTTACCTTTATCTCTACCATGTTTTCCCCCCCCATCAAGTAATATACACATAGGCATTTATTCTCTTGACCTCCACCTCACCCTTCTGGATAACTATCACTATTGGTTAGCT